AAAAAGCCCTGCTTATATGAACTAACACTAGCAAACAGCAAACCCTGTACAGGGTTTCCAAGGCTGTATCTTTATAGGACAGACAGCTTCATCTTCCTCCCAAGCAGCTAGTAGTTTTAAACTAAGACCTTGCAATTGGCAGTCCAATGCTTACTTAGGACTGGCACAAGAGCTCCTTAATATGAACTAAGGAATTACATAAATATACCTCCTCCTACAACCGTGTTTCAACTCTAAAAGTTCTGAGCCACCAGAAAATAACCAACTGCAACAAACATTGTCATAAATTGATTCTGACTCATAGCAATTCTACAGGAAAGAGAAGAACCGCCCCATTTACAAAGCTGAAATCTTTACAGATGTAAACTGCTACAGCTTTCTCCTTGGAGTAGCTGATGAGTTCAAACCTTTTGGTTAGCCAGGCCAACAGAACCTTTAACCACTGCACCAACACTCACAGCTCATGCATTACCAGCCAGTCAATGGACTACTCTACAATGCTGTCAGTACACAGCCTGCCTCAAACCATTCAACTATTACTATGAATTAACTTTTTTATAATGGAGATTATTTGTACATCCTCTTAAAACAACTCCGGTTGGGATGCTTTTGGGTTTAAGCTTCCAAGGAAACATTCTTCCATTGTATTGCATTCATATCCATGTACTACAGTTATTTGCTATCTTCCCTAGAGTCTTGCCTGGCTTATAGGTGGTATGAGAAGGACTTCAAAAAGTTGTGGGAAAATGAAATTGAAAGAAAATGGAATATTTTCCAGTAACTTTTATGAAGCCTCCTCATATTCAGTAAGAATACTGAGTGAAATCTGCATAGTCTAATCCAAGAAGTTCCAACTCTAACCAATGTTTATGGGTGGGCTTCAAAAAGTTCATGGAAAAATTCCATTCTCTCTCAATTCCATCTTTTCTTCTTGAAGCTCCCTCATATGTGTAATAATCCTGAAACAGATTTATGAATTTTGAGGGATTATCCTATGTTCTTATTTTAGTTTTTTTGTTTAAATTAATGTTGTACAGAGGGCTATTATCACCCAAATTGAGACTAATTTTTAAAATATATTTATGATAGTCACTGCCATTTATCCAACTTCTGCTTCCTTTCCCTTCTCTCCTCCCACTTAAGCTTTAAGCAAATAATTATTTAAATACAATAGGGCATGCTTCCAGGAAGCTACCTAATTTGTGGGGGTTTCAAAAATTCAGGGAAATTTGCTAATAGTTGAATAAGAAAAACATGTTTACTGTCTTCCATTTCAATTGTCCTAAGGATCAGGAAAGCTGTGGGTTTTATTACATTCTCCAAAACTTCACCTTTTTGCTGAGGTAAAATTTCAGATTATAAACTAATCCATTTTCTGACATGTCCAACGGTGAAGATTTATACAAGCACATTAGAGCTTTCTTATCAACACTGATAATAGATAATATTAGTGTTGGAAGTCCACTAACCTTGACGTTTATTGTAGCATGTATAAACACCCTAGTTTTAAAGAAAAGGCTTGCTTAGCTAAAATGTTAAGTAATAATCTTAAGGTTAGAATCCAAGACATCGTTTCTAGCTCCTAGTATATCTAGCAAGGTATTTACATTACTCCAGTAAATGTTAACCACTGTTTTGCTCAACCTTATATAAAAAGGCATATTATCTTAACTAGGATACAATTTTAAGGAAACAATTGTTTCAAGGTATCTTCCATTTGACAGAATCATTACAATAGGATACTTATTTCTGAAACAATCTAGAAAATATTCTAGAGGGAATATACTCTATTAAATAATAAAGATCACTTTCAAAATAATTTTTAAAATCATTGTGGTACTGTAGTAAATGAAACATATTTGAAATTCACAAATTTAGCATTTGGTTCAGTGCTGTTTTATGTTTTCTGCCAGTACTATCAGTCAATAAATACAATTTATATGTGATAAAAAGCTATCCATTTAAAAATAATTTAGCAACTTATTTCATACTGTTGAAATTACTTTGTCTATTATTTAATCCATTAAAAATATTTTCTAAGTGATAACTTTAAAAATGGCACCAATTCTTCCCAGGATTATTAATCCTGCTTATAAATACTGCTGACCAAGACTTTTTACAGTTATTAATTTTAAACTATCAGTGGACACTATTAGATGAAAAATGTCTTTCAGCAAAGCTAGACGTTAATACTTCTTACGTATTAAAAAGCTGAATTATATAGATCTATGAGCCTACATTTATAGGTTTAGTATTAAGGTAGCAGAAGGACATTGGGCCTCCACTCAAGTACTCCCTCAAC